ATCACCACATACACTGACGTGTGCATCCACCCACTTGCTATCCATCGGGACTGGCGTGATTCCGTTGGATGTGGTAGAAGAAAGCTGGTGTCGAATCATGCAGAGTTATAGTGGATATCCCTGTACCACAATATGAACTCCATCTTTTAAAAACCCTACAGAGACTCCCTGCTCTGTTCTATTTTGGACGGAGTTAGAGCCAGCGGTAACCAATGCGTCTGTGTTCGTTCTACTAAATCTCGTCGAAGTCTACGCCTACAACCCACATCAGTTTTATCCTCGGCGGAGGTCGAGTCTATGCATCTTCGATTTTTACGCCAACCGCCGGGTAAGCGGCTTATCCGTCCTCTTCAGGAGAGTCGTATCATTTACTGATCCGTCTACCATTTTTTAGAAGATATTTCGTTCTGGGAGGTGATCGAACGATTCAATGCCAATGTCGCCTATAGTGGGCTGGTACATGCCGTCAGTCAGGACGTGAGTTATTGTGACCCATCTTGATCACATTGGAATTGGGTTTGATATCGCCTTTTTCTGTGTTTTATCGTCAGGGTATTTTCACTGAAAACAAGGAACGACTAATTAAAGACGCTCTAATCGTCCTTCTCTCTCGGTGTCCTAGTACGCAACGTTCTGTGCCTACTGATGATGATTTTATTTATCGGAAAGGTCTTCCAGACCGTGAGGTTCGTTTGCAGCTGGACGAGGCAAGGTTTCAAGCAATTCGACGTCTAGTCGCGTCTAAAGCTGGTTTTGAGGCCTTTACTCAGTTATCTGGGTCAGTAGCGGCTATTTAAAACTGATTGTTTTGATTGATGGGATTAGTTTGTCTATTTAATATTGGCTGCTAATAACTTATTAGCAAGGTTAATTTTTTGTAAATAGGGTGAGAGAGAATCTTGGCAGAGCCGTGGTGGCCGCGCTAGCTCAAAATGATGACTCATTGACGCATGCAGTAATCGACGCAGTGAATACACTGATGCAACCCATGCATGAGTCGCCGGATCTGCGACAGGAACAGCTCAATAAGGCGTCAATCATGTCGAGTGCTCCGTTTATGCGACAGTTAGTCAATTTGTTCACTTTGCACGCAGTGAGTTGTGGTTTTTTTTTTCGCCTAAGTTTACTGAAAAGTTGGCGAGACCTGAGGCTAGAAGCAAAGCCTTAATCTTAGCTCATCTCCCACTTTTTCATCTTCAATATTGAAGGCACTCCTTTTATGAACGGTCTTCAGCTTGTTCATTTCCGGTCTTTGTTCGAATCTCCACGCCGAGTATTTACAAAAGTAGGTATTGCCTTGATTGCGACCCCTCTTTTCAACGTCAACAGAATCGCCTGCACCATTGAGAAGGGGTAGTAGATTTCCGGTATATCTCACAGATGTAGCGCCAAGCTTTTAAAATGGCCTTGCTACGAATATGCGAAAGGGCTCAGTTTGGTAGCCAAGGTCGATTCGTCCCCAGTTCTATGTATGCTCCTGTTACGTGGAATGTTCAAGCTGAATCTGGACTTTTAATTTCGTAACTATAACTTAGGATAGTGCAGCGGCACTACGCACATCGATAGACGGCACTTGTGCTCTATTGGTGCCCTTATTAACCGGTCTGAGCTAGTCTAGGAACCTTCGTTAATCGAGGTGCCAGACGACAATGATAGTGGATAGGTGAGCGAATGCAAACATGCAACAGTATGTGGCGACAAGAAGAAAGTCGTAAAACTTCAATCTGCAGATACCTGCTATTATCCAAAGAAGACTTCAACCGTGTCACAGTCCTATAGAGCGACACCTAGCATCCGCAGTTAGCCGGTTAAATGGTGTAACTGCAATGGGTTCAGCTTTATTTTGCTCGCATTAAGCGATATCTGTATTATCGGCAGCCATAGCTGTCGCTACCAGAATGAATTAAGCCGTATATTACCTTTCTGTTTGTTCTACTCAGCTTCGTGGCACTGGTTCATTGGTCATTTCGGGTCTTCTTGATTTCTTTACCTTCGCCCTCTGTCTGCCCTACTCGGAGACTTCGGAGGGGGCGTCTTTTGAAACCCTCCTGACAATGGTCGCTTCACGGGGTCGTGCCATCTTTCGGCTCTTCTCGGTAGATCTCTTTTACTTACTTTGGATTTGGTCGATACTTCTGGAGGCATCTTTTAAAGCTCAAACTGTTCCACGACTGCTTACCTTTCTACATGTTCTCTCTGTCTGTGCCATTATAGATTAGAATGCATTGGTTAAAAGCTCCTCTCGTGAATCGGTCATAGATGTCTCCTTCTTTAGAATGTGTTATCAAAAGTCCTGGAATCTAGGGCGTAGTTCCCTTTAGATTGATGTCTCCGAATCTGCTAACTTGTAACCTCACGCTTATAATCTGTAGACTTGGTCTGTCTCATATTCTTCCTTTGTGACATATCCCTTCAGGAAGTGACAGATCTACAGGATTATAAGCCATAGCATTCGTGATTTTTTGAAAAACAATTAGAATTCCTGGAACCTGAATTTCAAGAGTTGGAGTTCCTATTCCTGTATTGGTTGTCGAGCGTCTTTTCTTCAAGAAAGACGAATTTTGAAACATTCAAGATCGTTGAACAAGACAGGAAGACTTATTATTAAGTAATGAAAGTCATTCATTAAACTTCGTCTTAGAAAAAGCCCTTTGGTTGATGTCTTCGAGTCTCACTACCAGTTTTGCATCTTGATTATGAGGATTAAGACACTTTGTCCGTTTACCTTTCTCTCCTGCCCACCCACCAACGTGATATTTAACGATGGAGCGACTATGGATTTTATGGGAAGTAAGTCGTTTTTTACATGTTGGATTTCAGGGCTACGTAGGTCAAATAATTAATTGGCTGGTTGTTTTGATGCCTGATTCATTTTCTGCTCCACAACGGCAGGAGAAGAGAAAGGATTATTTCAGCTTTTGGGAAGTAGTCTACCCTCTGTCTTGATAAAATACAACAGTGATAGATAAGGCAAATCTGCCAGTTTTTATGCATTGTTCTGCGTCTTGTCTTCCTATGTGTGTGAATAGCTGTCTGCATCCTGGAGCTTGAAGCTCCGGAGTTTAGAGTCCCATTCATGAATCGGTCTTAGAACGCCTTGGGGACATTCAACTGATGAGAAGTCACACTTTAACGCCCTAGCATCGTAGCAATCTCCAGATCAATATTTTTTTTTCCAGCTGGCCTGCGATCTTTTAAAGTTCACATTAAACGGAATTCTAGCCATAATTGCGTCCTTCGTGACCCAAGACATACCCTAGTATTTCTAAAGAGGGACTAATTAGGCCTAGTGGCTCAATTTTGACCGTCCATTCGTAAATCATTCTCGAAATGTCTTCTACACTTTTGCTATTTATATTTCGAATCCAGAAGTTGGTCGATAGAGGAAGGAAATGAGAGATTTGTTAAATATCGCCAATTTTCTTTTGTCCTTGAAACCGTCTGTAGGTTCGATCCAATCGCAGCCATTTCTTCTCCATTTTTCCTTTCAGCCTGCATTCATAGAAATGACCAGATCACCAGAAGAAAAAACTAACCATTGCTTTTTTGCTTCTGTCTTTTTTTACTCAGCATCCGAGTCTGGCTATAGTGAAGGGTGCGGGACTTGTAATGCGTGCAATAATCGATGAAGCCTCGGAGGCACTGGTGGCGCAGCTGCGGCAGATGTCGTTGGCCGAGGGAGCTCTTTTGCAGCACATCTTAATTGCTTGTTTCGCCAATGTTAACGATCCGCGAAATCTTGTTCTCAGGTAGGATAATGGATAGGCCATATCTAGAGCGGTAATCTTAGGCGGTATTTTTACCGTCCAGTCTTCTCTGCTGAAGAAAGCCATCGATTGCCATTTTTTCGTCAAAGACTGTCTTGGTAAAGCAGTTGCTTCTATGTTTGCGTATTTATGAGCATTTGATTGCACAGATTGACTGCGGTTCTACTTAAACAACTAATTACACGATTTTCACTTTCATTCCCTGGGGCCATTATTGCGACCTAGCTGCCGGGAGGCTAGTTTATTATCGAAGTGTGTCAATAGGCTGGGTTCCTATTAGTAGAGCTGTATGCCACTGTCGTGGAGGTCGAATTGTGAGAGGGTTGATCAGGGCTGCGTTATCTTCGCATGTTGGCTCTCGTCTCGTAAACTACTAGTGGCCACTCTTCCTTAGTTTTGATAACTCTTCCTCTTTTGTGACTCTAAACGGAATCAGCCTTCTTTCCTATGACGTTTATGCGTAGTAAATTGTCCTGACGACTTATTGAGCATCCAACAACCATTTTTCCACTTTTCTACCTTCCATTACCGGAAAGAAGCAATGCGTTGAATGCGGAGATGTCATGAACAGTTTTCCTCTGGGGATCGTTTATTGCGATCTATCAGATTTTTTGGTGTCTTCCAGACATGATCAAAATTTATGAGCAGAAGGCACACAACTAAAGTGCGGGTTTTAATGGAGCGGATTTAAGGGACCCACTTCGTACCCTGTTTCAACCGTCTTCCTCAACGCTTGGTTGTTCCACATACTTCTACTCATTGGTAGTTAAAACAACAGCGACGATGTGAATATGTCGGTGATGCTTTGAAAACACCCACCGATCTGGAAGATAGAAGTGAAAACGGTAAGATGAATGGTTGAATCAAATTTGTAGTGGTTTATAGTCCGTTCTGATTTCGATACGATTGCTCATGTCACGCGTTCCTCTGGTTAGGCAAGTTGCATTGGAAAGAGAGGTTCAGGTGAACCGACTCTAAAAGGCAACACAATACGATCCTTCTACGATATGAAGGCTACTATTTAAAAATTTCGAGTGGGAGTACGATGTTAACGTTGCTTTGTGGTATTTTTCGTCTCCCAATGTCTAGACAACTGAGTCGTCAACTGATCGCCCTGTGGACGGAGAACAATCCTCAAGCTCAGGATTTGCTAAAACGCGTTTTTGTGAGTCACTGTAGCCTTCATGGGGGGTGGTTTCACAATATTGGTGTCCATAATATCTTTTTTTGTATATTTTGATAGCCCGAGGGTCTTCTCTCATTTCTGGACTCTCCTGATCTTCCCCCGGAAACAGAAAAAGATCATCTTTTTGTGAGGGACAATCTTCAATTAGCTCAAGTACGACCGGGTTATTCTTTAAACAAGAAGTCAACTACTGCTTTGTAATGATTATGTACTGAGCACGTGAGAGCTTCTATCGCCCCTTTGGAATCGGAACTTGTGATTGCTTCGAAAACGACCTTTTTAATTTTTTATTGAAATTTAGTCGGTAGCAATGTTATTGCCCCTTGCACACCGAAATCCCTCTTTGTTGCTTTGTTTCGTTTAGTTTTAAGACATCTTTTTGCTACTTTTTACCTCTAGGAGCACGTATTGCGAGTGCAAAGCAAAAAATCGGAACCACTGTACATTCTACAGGAGCGTGTGGACAGCATTTTGCAGCATTGGAGGGTCAAGGTCGGCCTTCAGCCCAGAAAGGTGCGTGTTCTTTGTCGTGATTTCGGCTTTTGTCTCCAGTTTAGAGCCCTGGTGGAAGATGTGGCTACATTTCTAAACCCTCTCTTTCAAATTTCAAACATAAATTGTGCATTACAGCCTAAAGTGCCAAAATTTACTTCACCGTAAAACCTATCCGACTTTGGCCATGAGTATATATCTAATTGTCCATGTCTTTATAATCCTTTCTCCAGTTCATTCTCCTCTTAACTATGCATTCCAGACTCACTCATCTATTTGTTATCTGCCTATCTCTAGGGTGTTCATTCATCCCCCTATAATTCGGCCACTCATTTGTCTTTTACTACCGGTATATCCCTGATTAACACATCTTTTGATTCATCCACCCTAGATTCTCTCATCTGCCCAGTTTATTTTCGATGCCTTCATCTTTTTATCGTCTGTGCTATGCCCTTATCTGGGCCAGATACAACTTTCATCTTACCTTATTCATCAATCCGCCTCCGATTCATCCGTATTTGGTTCGTCTAATCATTTGCCGAACCCTTCCCGTTCAATTCTTCCCGTTTTCTATCCTTTTACATTTGAGATAAATGATTCCAAACATCTGCCAAGTTAGCGATTTTAACATTTGAGAATGATAATTTTTCTTTAAAGCGGCTTTCTATAGTTGGTACAGATCGTTCTTTGGTCCCCACTAAAGTATCTCTCCACTTCATCTTCGACCACTTTATTTCTGGATAGTTCTTTCCTACATTTCTTAGGTATCCATCATGCCAACCATCCATTGACGCCCTGTTCATCCAATCTTCTGTACCAACTTTAGGAAATTCACCCAAGTTAACTATGGTCTATCTAGGAACTGTAGTGCCACGATTGTCCAGAGTCGATTAAATTTGCTATTCTCCAATTAATCAGCACTCTATCCCTTTACTCCCTGTTAAAGCCATCCACTCCGAACATTGAGGACAGACCTGTGGCGCTGCGCTTGACCCGTCGCATGCGAATCAAACTGGGCACCCCGGACACCCGAGTGGACGGCAAACCGACCGAATTGCCTCGCACTCTCAACTGGCCTCTCTTCTACTACCACTTTCAACGGGATCACGCCAAACCCGATCTGATTTGGAACCTAAGGGTAAGTGATTTGCTAATCTGTGGACGGCATTCTTGCAGATTGGAAGATTGATATGCCAAAATCGGTTTGATTTGTTTGAAATTTTCATTTTTGGACAGAATTGATTAAAAGCAATCAATTCGCAGTAGGCGGTAGTTGTGCCTTATTACTACCCTAACCAGTCGGCGCACATGTGCCTGGACCAGTCCAGACATCACCCTTAATCAAGAACCCAGGCAACAGCGACAGTTGGTGAGTTAGTGGGGGTGCATACGTCAAACAGTGTGTAGTGAC